TAGAGGTTGATAAGGAATACTTTGATGGTAGGTGTTCACAGAGACGGATTACTGATCTGCCCAGAGACCTCTAAATGCCACGGGTTTCAAAGGGGGCTCAGACTACAAGGTCTGAGGTGGCTCAAAGACTGGGGACAGTCTACTGCAGGTGCAAAAATGAAGTAAACAAATGGTCCTTTAACATAATGACTAAATAAATAAAATAATGGACCTATGTTTAAAATAATTAACCCGCCCCCAGCATATAACCATGCAGGACATTGCTGAGAATGAAAATGAATGATCTCGTTTACATTACGTTTCCTTCCAGTGCTGTTCAAAATGCACATAAACAAAAAAGGGCTGCTTATCAAAGTTATTTTCCAGTCTTATTTTTTCAGTATTTTTTTGTGCAATAGTCAGAGTGTGGGGGCCTCCAAAGATGCTGGTGCCCAGGGGCCTGATCTGTCCTTGGGTGTTCAGATTAGTGCTTGACAATTTCTTCAAAATACAAGCAAGTTCACCATCAACAAACATCTGTGACTGTAATCTGTTCTGCTATAATATCGTTTTGTCTTTCATGTTTATTTCATGTAGAAATCTGCGGATCTCTGGAGTACCTCATCAGACTTTTTAACATCCTACAGATCAACCCGAGAGTAGCCCCTCCTTCACCGAGTCCAAGTGATGAGATAAGGGTATATTAAGTCGCCAAGTTTAAATGGTCACTTTGCTCCTTTCTCCTTTCTTTTAATATCTTGAGATCTAATATTTCTTACTTAATCTTAATATTTTATTCTTTTACTGAGTTAGTTACATGTTTTCCCTGATCCACTAAGCTACTGAGCTGTGATGGTGGGGTGGGTGATATGGTAAAAATATACCAGAAGATATTTTCACAATTTACAAGATGTACCACAATACTTTCACACACAGATACTATGCAGTAGCATTGCTACATTTAAAAACATCCATCAGAAGCTGAAAATAACTATTTTTGTTTAATGTTTCATATTAGGCACTGAACTAAGTCCAATTAAACAGGACTATAGGTTCTCTTTTTTAATGAAACGTAGTTGGCCAGTGTTTCTTGAGTAGTGACGATATCTAGGATATGAAAATGATCTTGATACCAATATAATATCATCATATTACCCGCCTCTAGTCGTAACTGTGTCTGTGGGATTGTGCTGTCTGTTCTGAAATATCTAGAAAAAGAAAACTGTTGAAATGATTTCAGTCAGATTCCTCTCAGCTCATTGTCAGATTTTAGCTTTGGGTTGACATTTATGTTTGACTTTTATCACCATAGTATCTTCTTTATCTATTCATTCAGGTCCCACTGGGCAACACTGAGGTCACGGTCCCAATGAGCGAACTTCAAAAAGTCAAGAAAAGATCGATTAAGAGCTACACGGAAGGCCTGGTTGACTTACTTTTTACTCCGGAAACTTTGAGGGCATCCACCCTTAAAGGAAACTCTTTGAAGGGACAGCTACGAGAGACACTTGATCCGGTGAAAGTGAATGCCATAATAGGTAAACATATGTTTTCTATTCGGAATTGTTTTTCCCCAGCAAAGTCACAGGCAACAGGGTTGAGTGTACAAGAACAGATGCTAATATCTTAATTAGGGTTAATGGGTTCATGCTAATACTGATTGGGCATTGTAAAATTGACCCAGTTTTGAATTAATCCAGCGAGGACACGGAGATCACCGGTTTTGCGTCCAGAAATGGTGCAGCATGTCCAGGATGTTTTCTTCAGCACGTTGTATGAGCTAAAGTACTTTTCTCTTTCTGTTTTCTCTAACAGAGCAAGTCAGGTCTGTGTTCGAAGACGCAACTGTGGATTATGTGGAGCAATTAATAAGGCAAAAATGCAACTGTGCAAGAAAATTATCCACAGCAACTGGAGAGCACTGATTTTTCCTCAACAAATTGCTTTAATGGAATATTTTCCTGTACTTTAAGAGGTGCTCAGTTTGGGATTGGGGCTTGCTATAACAGTTTCTTTCCTTATTGTTAGATTCACAAATTCATTAGTGTGACATTACCATATTGCTGCTGTCGGAACAAAACCTCGTATCTCCATTTTTGGCGTTTTTCAGTTTTTGACATAATTTGAAAATACCTGGTTCTCTTTACATTGTGTGTAAATTTCATGACGAATTAACCAAAAGAAACGGCCCAAAATGACTTGATAAAAACTCTGGTTCCATTGACTTACATTAAAAGTAGAGAATGTTTTTTCCTTCTCCTGTAAAGTTACCATTTTGGAGATACGAGGTGTTCCGACAGCAACGATATATTAAGATGAATGTTGCCATAATACATAAGGTACCATAAGTAGCCTCGCTGATGTTCTTTGTATTTAGTTTTAATTGAAGATTTTAGCTAAACTGGTGTAAAATGTTATTAGACTTCAAATCCATGTGTGCAGATCATGATAGTGCAGTATATTGTGGCATTACTGTGTGTGCTCTTTTTTTCAGTCAGTATTATGTGGATTTTACAGTAAATTCTATCATGTAATGCTTTTTTGGGGATGGGTGATTGGCTCTGTTTTTTTAATATGCAACAATAAAAGACACTGAATGTGTAAAACGTGGTGCTGTTTATTAAAACAAGTCACATCAAGCTTTATTTAACCTTAACCGTATTTAACTTTCTCAGCACTGTAAGGTTCTGAGTGAGGAACAAGATAAAGCTCCCCCTGTAACACAGAGCTTCATTTACCTTGAAGATATGGTAACACCAGTGTAAAAGTCAGTAAATACACCCAGTAAACTAAAACCCCATTTATAGTGAGGTTGTTTACAGTTATGATTTCCAAAAAGGAGAAGGTGGCGGAGTTTCTGGATCCTGTTTATATATGATTTCTTCTTTGCGTTTTAGAGCTTTATCTTGCAAAAGGCTGGTAAAGTTGTATAATGCTAAAAAAAACCTTGTGGTTGTCTGACAACGGGTCAGTAATCAAGAACAAAGCGAGGGAGAGTTTAAAATGAATACTGTGTTTAATTGAACTTAATTGAAAGATATTTGTTACTATAAGCATGAAATTCTGTCACCTAGCTTATTAAACATGCCTACAGCTGATCGCACTGAACTGATCTATAACCTGTACATTTCAATAATGTATTTACGGCCTTGTTTATGTAGCTTACCTAAGAGAGAGGAGAGGGCATTGTTTGAATAAGACAGATCTACTGTATGCAAATAGCTGTTTTTTTCTGGCTATTGCTACTTTAAAAGTCATGATGAACAGACATTTTGGGGCAATTAAGAAATTCTCCTAGGGGGACCATGACCCCAGATCCTCCTAGTCTTAGCTACAGTCTTAGCCCCCCTATCCATAAACCTCTAGTGACGACCCTGCTGACACATCAAAACGCTGACCCACATCCTCTCCCTGCTCTCTCGCTCTGGACGAACTTTGTGCAAATGAGTGGCGACCAATCAGATTATTGATATGTGAAGGCTGCAGGCTGCTTTGGGGCTCAGAACTGGCCTGTGACTCTGTATAGACTCTGTTTGAACCTCAGCCTGCGCATGTTTGAGCGACGCGCCCCAAAAGCGGCCAGTTTTCGGCTCACTGAGCATGTTTACATGCACTCCATAATCTGATCATAATCAGATTTCTGCAGTTATCCGATTATTCAGATGGTCATATAAACACCATATTCCGATCTAGAAATCCGATTAAGAAATCTGATAAAGAGACTGGCTTTTAGCTCAGTAATCAGATTTCTCAGTGCATGTGGACTCTTACTCTGATTTCTTTCGGATTTCTCAGTCTCAGTGTGCGAAAACAGACTGCTGTACCAGAAATAAGTGAGCAGCGTTACTGTGAGATGCAGCAAAACACTTTTAAAGCAACGCCGAAACCAAATGCAGGATTTAAATATTTTTCATCTTCTAGATGATGTATGTTCATATTTTCAGGTAAAGTGGTGCAGCATGAAGTCTGAGTTTTATGTTATGTTTATATCACGTCTTCCTCTATGAGTTTATTGGCTGGTTGCAAAGCAGAAATGAAATTAGTGCCTGACTCATGTAGACCCAGAGTTTTCCCATTATCTGATTACTCAAGAGCATGTAAACACGTTGATCTGATTACTGACAAAATCTGATTTTCTGCAGTTATTGCATTATTAAGTGCACATGTGTAAACACACTCACTGTTATGAAAATATGGAGTTCACATGAAGCGACAGCAGATTTGAAAAAATACAAATATATAAATATTCAAACTGCACTGTAAAACAAGCACACATGGTCTGTACTACACTCAAATTATTATAAAGTTCAGATCGTTTTATTACTATTATTTTTAACCCCCCTCAGCATCCCATATCCCTTTGGCACAAAGTTAAAAAGCTAGTTTTAAAGAATGAAGCATCAAATCGGAATCATCTGAGCTTCTAATTTAAACCATTGGGTTTCCTCATCATGGTGCTTCAGCTCTGCTGAAATGAAAGTGCCATTGCAATCCTGTTTGCAATCACATTTTCACTGTCAACAAAAGCTTCTTGTCAATCAGCCCCTCCAGTAGAGAAAATGTGATGCAGTGCCATATAGGTGCCCTCACAAAGGGATAAACTTGGGCCCAGTGCCATGGGATGACCATTGTATTACTTGTATTACTAATTAAATACTAGTTAAATGTTGTTTTAGAGCATTATGGTCCTTTTCATCATAACAAGCATATAAACAAGGAATAGGGGTAAAAATAAGAAATGTGACTGGGCCTTAAAGTTCCCTACAGGTGCCTTATATAAACCTCATAATGCGCCCTCTTAGACACCCTTCTAAGTGAGAAAACATGATGACGTGTCCTTGCGGTGGAGAGTAAAAAAAAATCCAGTGAATAAAATGAGGTGCAGTGCCCTACAGTCTCTCCAACAAAGTGGCTTTCCCAAGGTAGGTGCAGTGACAAGGTCATTAACACATATAAACACATGGCCAAAAGAAGAATTCTGAAACTGAAAACCTGTAGTGAGCAAGTAGATTATATCATGCTTAATAATTAAACTGAGAGTTTATTCAGAAATGTTTAATCATTTATAATGTTTTAGGTAGACATCTTACATTTGTCATCAAGACTGCATCAAGAGATCACATAGCTTTCCCATGCCAGCTCCAAGATTTGCTGCAAAATCTAGAGACAACTCATAATTGACTTCTGTTCCTTAAGTGGTTCTGACATAATCTAGGATCACATTCACATTCTAGGATCAAAATGACTTAATAGTGGTGAAATTCTGTCCATGCAGCAAGAAATCATAAAACGAGTTGGTTCAAGTCTAGAAAGAAGTAGCTCTGATAAGTGTTCAAAAGTTTGAAATAAGTAGAAAATGCTGGTTTACTTGAGATCAGATTTGCTACAGCACAGTAATAAGCAAAACACACTGAATATTAGCAAATATTTCTTACTACTCTTCATTTTTTTCCATTCTTAATTTTGGCACTCTGAACAAAATGAAGGGAGAGGAGGAAGAAAATAAGGTGAAACTTGATTGTAACGATTGATGAAATTATGTGTTTTTTAGCCAAATGACCAAAATTTTAGCATTAATTACTTTAAACGTTTATCAGACACCACCATTACTTAGTAAATACAATCGTTTTGCATTGAAACTTGAAATTTGTGAAGAATCTTTGTGTCACTGTTTTATATTTTTATCTGTTAATTATAAGAAATATGAGCAGATGCCAATAGCAAATTAGATTCACAGATTTATGATCTTTGACATGATGTGTCATGATTTACAATATCAAGGTTTTATCTGTAAAATGCTTTGGCCACGTTGGGGCAGCAAAATAAGCTAAAAGCACAGCATCTGACATTATCAGCTTCTAACAGTTGTTATGACGCAGGCATTAGTAAACAGCAGCCTATAGGCCAGCCATGTCAAACTGGTGACCTTCTGGGCCAAAGTGCTGCAGAGTTAAGCATTTACAGCTCTCAGTTCAGTTAATGAAGGCCTTGCTATTAGCTGATGAGCTGAATCAGGTGTGTTTAATGAGGCAGTGTGCTGAAGTCTGAGGGGTTTTGGCCCGCGAGGACTGGAGCCTGACACATGTGCCATAGGTGCTATTTTACTTTGGTGCCATCTGATGGTTCTAAAAAGAACTTCTGCTGGATTTTTGTGTTTGCTTGGACCGTAGATGAGCAGTTGCTTCCATCTTCATCATTTCATTCTCCACAGTGCCATTCTGAGCTGTTCAGTCACTTGAGTTTCGGTTTTCAGTTGGAATTAAGTCGTCTATGTTGTCGTCTGTCATTTGCAGAAGTCTAATATCAACCGTGACATCTGTGGACCATGTGGTCCAGTTTGGATGCAATGATTTTCAGTCTGGCTTTTGTGATGCTGATAGACTCGTCTACACCGTCAGGGTCATGGTTGTGTTCACTTTCGTTTCACACGTGTCGCCAAAGTAACCATCTTGACAAACACACAGCCATTCATTGGATTTCAGCAGCTGCTTGCACTGACCATTGTTCTGACATGGGTTATGTTGGCAAACAGGCGTCTTCGTGGAGACATGCACGGAAATCTTGTATCGATAGTCACCCACTGAACAACCTGTTCGATCAACTGGTGGTGGGAGTTCTGCAAATTCGTAGTTGTAGGCCGCATGTGTTAGTTTGGCGTAATCTGTAACACGTATATCATCGCTAAGTCCACCATACGTTTCCCAAGGAAAAAAACTGCATCTGGGATCACATTGTGGTTTTTTGCTAAAGCATTCTTGGACTATTTTTTTAACATTTTCTGAGTCTGAGTCTGCTTTCAGGGTGTAGGTAACAGCCACGATGATCTGGTCTGATATGGGGATCTTAGTCATATCATATACATATATATATTTATCATCTTCCTGCTTTTTGTCGTACACCAGCACCACCCAGTTGTACCAGCTGTACTTCTTGTCCAGAGCATTTTTCACTTTCTCAGCAACGGCGGTCTTTTCTTCAGAAATGTGCGCTGTCCCGATGTCCTTAACGTCCTTCTTCATTTGCTCCTCACTGTTGTCTATGCAGTACTCCATAGCTGCCCGCTGAACTTCATAGAGGCTCTTCAACATCTGGGCATGTTCAGCTTCTTTGTCTGATGTGCTGTCAATCAGTTTCCCGTAAACCTCTTTGAGTACCAACCCCTTCCACAGCAAACTACTGAGATAAAAGTTATATTTGTTGATCTCATTTAAGTCACATTTAAACTTGCTCTTCAGCAGGTCGTTGAGGTTTTTGCCGAGGATCATGGTTTTGCCTGTCAGGTAAAGGTAAAGGGCGTCCACACTGGCCTCGGTTTGCGTGTCCTTATAGTAGTCTTTAAAGATCTGGGCCGAGGGCTTGAAGTTTTTGAACCCATGCCTTTTTAACTCTACAAACTTCCTCCAGGTGTTGAGGATGCGGACTTCGTTTTGAGAGTAGACGCTGACGTAGTTGAACCATTCCACGTCCGTGGCCAGGTCAGAGATCTGGGTGGAGAGAGAGTCCAGTTTGCTGTTCACCTCAGCAAACCCTTGCTCCAGCTTGGTCAGCACTGGGTCTTCTTGCGGGATGAAGACCAAAGCCATGTTGATGACAGAGGAGATCACAGCTCCGACGCCAGGCGCCAAACTGGCAAAGTTGGCAAGGTTCTTCATCATACTTTTCAAGCTATTTGTGTCAATCTTTCCCATCACATCGTTAAGTAGAGACAATGAGTTTGTTGCAGTTTCCAGGACTTTTTCTGTTTTCTGTCTAGTCTCGAAATCCAGGTCTCTCGCGATCCTGTGGAGGGCTGAACGGTCGGTGGAGGAATGTGACCAAGCGGAGGACGTCGTCCAGTAAAGAAGGATCAATGAAGCCAACAACGTAGAGGCAGACCACCGTAGGGACGCCATGACTGCAACACACATAACATGGATTTATTTTCTAACTGTCCATTCTAGAGTAAAACAGTCTCCCTTCCCAGCCTTTTCATGTGTGGAATCTTTCCTTATATAAATTGGAGAGCTACAATTTTTATAGTGTACATGTTGCAAATCCACATGAGGCACATTTGTGAATTTTGACCATAAAAACAAACCAGTATCCTACGAAACAACAGGTATGGTGCTGTGGTGGCACAGTTGCTGCTTGTGGACCAGATATTTCAGTGCCTGTGTTGTCTTACATGCGTTTTAGTGTAAAAAAGAAGGACTGTTTACGTACTGAAGCTCAGCTACAGCTGTCAGGATCTTGTGGAGATTGGTAGAGTGAGTACAAACTACCAAACTGATGTTGTGTAGTCTAGGCCTTATAAGCTTTCTGATGCTGCAGCTCAGCCTACAGCACAGATATGGAGGGGGAAGAACTGGGCTAAGCTAAAGTCTAACCCTGTTAGATGTGTTGTCTCATCTGTCCTGTGGGCTAATCACTCACTGGACATTAAACTGGACTTTGTACAGCTCTGACATATTGTAAGCATGAAACGAAGAACTGCCGTGTGCTTGTTTTCATTGAAAAGCATCTACACAGCAACATTGTGGTTATGGTCATCGAGCCACACATAAAGAAGTATGTAGGTGTCTCTCAACTCAAGTTTGATGCCTAAATTAGAAAACTAATATGTCCAATATGTCAAAATGTTTTTTTTATTTGATAAAATCATATTTATCGAATCAATGCAGCTTAAGTATAGATACATGCCATGATTTTATCACATATATCTTGCTGTGTGACCATCTGAGACACGTCAAACAGTAATCAAGCCTATGATCATTCAATATATAAACACACCTTATCATTATATAAACACACCTTATCATTATATAAACTCACCGTAAAGGTAATGAATCAGAGACCAGTGAAGTGGCCAAATGATTCTATTCAGAAGTTGACAATTTAATAAAACAATATTTAATTTTGCAAACTGGCTTACAAGATATATATATATTTTGTCATAGTTTTCATTAAGGAAATGAACACTAACCTGTGCAACAATACTTATCTAAATGTTTTCTGTTAAATAAATGAATGTTAGTTAAACAATCAGCAAAGCAGACAAACACTGCAGACCTGGAAAGAGGCTTGGAGAGCTGGAGTCGTGGCCCAGAGAGGTGTGGCTGGTGTTGTTTGGTCAGCAGGTAGGCTGAATCTGGAGGTTGTTGGAGTCCTCTGATCTCTGAGCTTGACAGGACAGAACTGGTCATTTTTATAGGACACTGATTGGCCACACCTGCCCTTTGGCCAAATGAGTTTCATCCACTTTGGGGCAGGTGGGGCTGGAGTTTGCTTTATGTGGAGAAATGATAGAAAGGTGAGGCAGAGTGGCTTAAATGAATAATTTACCCCCCCCCCAAAAAAATGAACTCTATTTCACTTCATATTTGCTAGTTATAAAACACCAAATACAGTAGGCAAGTGTTCAATTACTTCTGATCCCTTGCAGTTTGGGTGCTACGTGTTAAATGAGCTATACCTCCCACACAGTTCTTTCTATACTGATGTAAACCTGCTCAAATTAAAGCTGAGACTAGGTACCTTAACATAGTACCCATTTTTTTTTTTAAACTGATACAACTAATTAACAACCCATAGAACATGCACAGGAAGGTGTGTAAGGTTCCTCAGTTAAGGAAACACCTTCAGTACTGTATGCTTAGAATGTTCCCTATTCCTATTAATTAGAAACAGAAGAGGTCGAGAGCGTCCATTGTATGGGGTAAACTGGCCTAATCTGCTACATGTTGCATATCAACATGATTCTGTCACTCCCTCTACACTTACTGTAAATCCAGCTCTTCTAAACATTAGATCTCTTTTAAACAAGTCAGTTTTAATTGATGATCTTATTTGTACACATAAACCTGATTTTCTTGCTTTTAACTGAAGTATCAGTAAATGAGCTCCCCCAAACTTTACTTTTACCAGAACAGAGAATAATACCAGGTTCTCCTCATATTCTGTTAGTAACTATTCACAGTTTTTCTTGATGAGCTAGGCAAACTTTTGTCTGTAAGTTTTATGGATTTAAACTGTGTTATCATGTCAGGGGAACTCAACTTGCATATAGATAATTCAGCATATACAGGGGTCAACTCAGTCTCTTGGTCATACCCTGGACCTTGTCATCATACAGGGTCTCAATTTCCCGCAACTGTCAATGACCTGGCCTTATCTGATAATTTTTGTTTGTACTTCGATGTGTCTACGACCCCACACATTCAGAACAGATCTATAACTGTATGAAAGAGAGCGGAAAATGATCACATAAGTGCTCTCTCTGACCTCGAGTCAATTATTAGACAGTTGTAAATATTATGCATGTAAATATTAAGCACAGTCACCGACAAACAGAAAGAACCATGGAAAGAAAATCAAAAAAGTTGATAAACTCCAGAATAGAGAGCGTAGAAAGTCTGAAAGCAAATGGTGCAAATTACAACCTTCAGATCCATAAAGAGATGTATTGCTCATATAATGCTGAAATATGCAGTCTTGCTTCTCTAACATCAGTTGAACTAAGCTAAAATTGATCAAATGAGGCTATTTTGTTAACCTTCAGTCAGGTTTTTGTGCTAATCATAGCACATTAAGGTATTAAATGGCATATGTCACCAATACCAATACAGGCAAAACTTCAGTTCAAGTGTTAATGGATCTTAGTGCAGCCTTTGACACTGTTAATCATAATATATTACCACACAGACTAGAATACTGGGTTGGATTTTCAGGTACAGTTATCAAGTGGCTCAGATGACACCTACAAGACAGGAGATTCTTTGTTGCAATTTGAAAACATACCTCCAAACCAACATCCTTGACCTGTGGTGTCCCCCAGGGGTCGATCGTGGGGCCTTTATTATTCAAACTTTATGTGCTCCTGCTTGGACAAATCATTACAAACAACGATTTTTATCATAGCAGCACTGACGACACATAAATTTAATTAGCCTTCTTATCATAGCAGTGCTATTTGTCAGTGCATTGACTAAACTAACAGCTGGATGTCTCAAAATTTCCTTCAGCTGAATAAGGACAAAACTAAAGACACTGTTATAAACCTTGGTGTCTTAACTGACTGTGATCTCAGTTCTAACAGCCATGTGAAAGCAGCAGCTAAATCAGCCTTCTACCATCTCAAAAGCCCCTTTAGAGTTAGAGGCCTTGTGCCAAAACAAAAAGAACTGACCGCAGTACTCCAAAGCTTAAGTCCTTCTTAAGTTGCTCTGGATAAAAGCGTTTGCCAAAAGCTGCACTTTGTAGTAGGAATTGACTTAAAGCACTTCTGCTTGTTTATAAATCACTTAAGGGGACAGGACCAAATTACTTCCCAGATATGTTTCAGCAGTACACAGTTAGACGTACCAGCTGTCAGAACTAAACCTCGCTTCCATGCTGCTTTTTAGCTTCCATGCTGCTCAGCTCTGGAACCAAATTACATCAAAAAGGCTCCAACTGTAGCCATGTGGTAGCTGTTTGACTATGTATGTGTTTTCCTGTCTCTGTGTGTGGTGGCTGCTTGTGTCAGGCTCAATGTGTGCCTGGTAAAACCATATAAGGGCCCCTCCAGGGTAGACAGGGCCCAGGGGTGGGTGAAACACTAGTAGGAAGGGAGAAGTACAGTGTCGGCATGTGCAGAGCCAAGTGGTAGCCCCGAAGTGGACACGGTCATCGTTGACTAAAGTCTGGCCACCCTTCTGACCACCACATACAATGCCGCTTGAACCATGCCACCACAGCCGTTCTCCATGAAGCTTGACCTCTGCCCTAAAAAGCTTTCACCATGTCCTCAGTAGTATTCTTGAATAGAAAATCTGATTATGGTTGTCAGGCACGAAGAGGTCAGCCAGTTAGATTGTTCTGTTTCTACTAGGCAGTGCAAAAGCAAAAAAAGCATGCTTTTGAGATGTGTTTTATGTGAGTGTTGAGAGAAAGGTCCTGCTCGATGACTACAACTAGATCCTTGACACTTGGGTTGGATGTCACTGAGAGGCCACTGAGTGAAAGTCAGTAGCTAGATAATGTACATTGCAAGTGTTTAAGGTCCAGGACAATAACTTGTGTTTCGTCTGCGCTTAGAAGCAAAACGTTTTTGTCCTCCAAATCCTTATTACAGAGCCTAAGGTAGCATCTGCGAAGAAAAGATCAAGGGTCCAAGTACAGAGCCTTGGGGGATTCCAAAATCTGCCTTTGTATGACTAGATGGTTTACTATGGACTTGTACAAACTGATGATGGTTAGAGAGGTAAGACATAAGCCAGGCAAGTGTGTGACCTTTGATACCTACATGGTACTCTAGTCTTTGAAGTAGCATATGACGGTCTATAGTGTTATAGTGCTAAGAGCTAGAAGGACAATTATCAACACACAACCATTATGAGATGCAATACCTACGTCATTAACAACTTCTTCCAGCCAGACTGGAAGACTTATTGGATGTTGTTTCTGTGTAGAAAAGTATTTTCAACAGGCAAGAGAGGTAAGATATGGGTCTGTAATTGGCCAAGTTATCTGTGGTGAGGCTTTTAAAGAGATGGTTTGGTGATGGCTATTCTGGGATTCTAGTGAAGATGAGGAGATAATGAAGGAAGTTGGGAGTGTGAGGTAAGTGTGTGAATGTACAGAGCAAAAGAAAAGCAATAAGGTTAGAACGAGAGAGGTAGAGAGAGTTTATGTGTTTATCTGTTGTTACCTTGGACCTTTAAACTCAGCTCACAAAGGCAAGCAGACTGGCATGTGGTACTGGAGATCAACATGATCAGTGTTTACCTTCATGATTTCCATCTTTAACTGTCCCTAATGGTTATAGAATATCTCAGGGATTGTAGTACTCTCATATTTTTGATGTGCACCCCTAAATTTTCCTTTTTCTCTAACACATCTTATTCTAAATTATGATTTTAATAACGTTATTCAAGTCTTGCAGCTTCAATTAGGAAATGGAAACTTAATTTGAATAAACACACCCACCTCGCACTCTATGGCCTCTTGTCTACCATCTTAGCAGGGAATACATGGGGCTGTGTGAAAGGCCTCGACAACTCAGAAGCCGATACATGCAACGTTCTTGCATGATCCCTGTCTGCATTATATATAGTGTCCTAGCCTACTTATGCTAGGGTTAGGATATATAAGGACGAGCATGAACAGGCACACAAGGAACACCGTTTTTAAGGTCTGAGGAATTTACACACTTCTCCAAATGAATATTGAACACATCTCTAGACTGGACAATATGGGAGAGAAGGGAGAGACACCATCTCCTCATTTTGGTAAACGTTATTTGTTAACATATGTAAACGAAATGTTCACATATCTAAACACTGGAGTCAGGTTCTGTTATTTCACAGTTTTTCATTTAGACCAGCTGGTATGGTGGTTCCCAATAGGTTAATCCACTTTTTCTCAAAAAATAGCCTTTGTCACTTAGACCATCTTGGGTCCGACTGTTAACCCTGATGTTCTTGGAGCGTCTTCCAGAAATTTGGCTATAAAATTTGGTGTGCTTATCTCTTCTCTTATTACGGTACAAATGCTGCTAATATCAATCTTTTCATTTGTTTTTGTCTCAACAATGTATAACTTTTCAAATTGGGTGCAGTCTATAACATAGGGACAATTAAAGGTATTCAAAGAGAGAGTTTGCCAAACCAGCCCCACAGCTCTTGGTAATAAATTTTAAAGATAAAATGGAAGACCAGAAGTTCTTTTGCTGTTAGATCTGAGAGAAGCAGACACTAGTTCATCTTTCAGCTTTTTCGAAATGCCACAATCAGCCTTGCACCTTTAAGGACTGGCAAGTTCTCCTGAGTCTCTTGGAAACGTTCCCACATTTACCTGTAACGCTGAAATATTGGGCTTGAAAATGTTGCTATAAACAGCAAAATCAGTTTCTCTTCTTTACCCTCAGATGCAGACTCTCATTCCTACCAGATCCCCTCCCGGCTGAAATCTCAAAAACAGTATTAGGGCTGGTAAGACTGTTAAGATCAGGGTAAATCTGACAATTGGGAGAATCGTTAACCACACTGAGGCTAGGTTGAGGGGTTGTGCTACAATGTGCTATGATGCTATATGCATGATACATACAAGACTGGTAGTGGAAAAAAAATGGAGGGAGCCAGCATCCAAAGTAGTGCTCAAAGAAGAGCTTAGAAGGTACACAGTGTGGTCATAATGACAGAATGCAAACATAATGGTCATATAACATATTGAGGGTCATGGTGTACTCATAGAATTCCTATTGATAGAAGGAGGATGGAGAAATTGTACCCCATGATTCATGAGTGTCTTTGGCAGCCTAGGCCTTTGGCAGCAAGGGATGTTGAACATTGGTCCAACAGTGCTGCAAGGAAGGTCTGGTGTTGACCATATTGACCAGTTGCAGAGAGGCAATGGCGAAAGCAGCCTCTTCCACCAGAGGCTCTGCAATGAGTGCTGGCTCTCCACCCACCATTTCTAACAATGGGGAGAAACAAAGAGGAAAATTTTAAGTCTAGACTTAAAAGACTTAAAAGTAGAGATGCATCCACTTCTCAGATAGAGAAAGGAAGACTATTCTAAACGAGGAGGGCTCGCTAACAAAAGGCTTTGCTTCCTTCTGTCAGGGGCCAAGGGTAGTGCTTGGTCTTCTGCTTGTTAAGCAACCTGTGGAGTCCAGTTTGGAGGGGACCGTTATGGTCTTAATGGCTTTTCAAATTCTAGAATTGGTATAATATAACTAACTGAAAATGTACTAGATTATCTTTTCCGGCTCCTGACTACTCAAGTTAGGGTTAGGCTATGGCTTAAGGCCCAGGTTAAGTAAAGTGTTGAGGATAAGTCTAAGTCTATTTCTCTAAATGTAACTAAAGCCCAGTAGTGAGGCTGAAATTTTCCCTTCTCTGCTATCACTGAGGACGAGCTGGGTCACCTACAGAGCAGCGCTAGTAGCCTGTTAATGAAGCAATGTTTTTTATTTTGTTTTTTTTTAAATTTGAGGGTTGTCCCATTTCGTAGGGCAAGATATCAACCACTAGTGACACTCGAAAACAAGGGGTAGGGGTTAAAAGAAGAAATGGAATGTTTTGAAACTAAGCGGCAAAAATAGCCTGATTGTGGTAGAAGTAAAACCAGTGCATTTACATAAATCCACATATTCAGGCTACAATAGTTTAACCCCATTTGGTCACGTAAAAATTATAAAGAGTGTTTTCAGCCACAACATATTTTTGAATGCGGCGCAATGTACGACAGCCAATCAGAACAGAGCTTATTTACATGAGTCTTGAAGACACATTTTACAAAGACGCACATTCACAAAGACATCATTTTAAGGGATAAAGGGGTGAATATGGTCAGATACAATGAATTATGACTGTTTTTGATACTTAAACCCACACAAATGTCAGAAGTATACCTCAAAATAAAAATTCCAAGAAAAACGATAATTATTATTTTCTTCTATAGAATCTTCAGGCTGCCAACAACAACAGAGCTGACACTGCTTTTGGGTTTTTCATGGATGGCCATCAAGGAAGTTATAAAAGATTTAATGTAAAAATTTCACATTTGAAAAACAATTTTGTCAATAATTTGACTTGATGATCCTTCGTAATTAGTGTCTCATTTGAGTAATATTTTCAGGGTGCATGTAGACTGTGGGATGGAAAATGTGGACATTGCCCAGTGCATGTTCACAGTCAGAAGAACAGGACGTGGCAGCTCCATTGCAGGTCATCATCCTTGTTGTTGGTGGCGTGTTAGTACTGTTAAGTACCAGTGTTATGGTTGTAGTGCACCCTGTTGTGCTATACTTAGGCTAGTGTCACGGATTCTCCCTTTGTCCCTCTCAGTGTGTCTTTCGTCCCCTCTGTGGTATCCATGTGCCTTTTGTTTTCTTGTACCATGTGCTTTTGTTGTTGTTCTGTATCTCCTCCCTGGTCTTGCCCCTTGTTATCTGTTCCACCTGCCTATGCTCCGCCCCTCATTAGTCCCAGGTGTTTCTCATTTCCCCTCTGTGTATTTATACCCCTGTGTTTGTTCAGTCTTTGTCTTGCATTGTGGATGTACTTGTTGATGTTGCCTTGTCTCTTGTTTTCTTTCATCTTGTAGTTTGGTTTTGTTTTTGTCATGGACTTGTCATTTCTTCAAACCTCTGTTACTCTAACTGGACTCTAATTTCAATAAAGGCAACTCGCATTTGCATCCTGCCTCCTCGCCTCCACTGTTACAGCTAGGTTGTTAGGTATGAGTACCTGACAGTGAGAGGTCTGTCTGCTGTGGGAGGTCTGTCCCGCCCCCTGTCCCTGTAGCACAAGGAATTTAACATCTTTTCCTTTGTATACTAAAACTGTCCACCCACACAGAGCAAGATAATGGCCCAATCCCATTTCTTCTTTTTACCCCTACCCCTTGTTTTCGAGTGTCACCCTGATCCCTTTGAGCTGAGTTACAAGCGGTAGTGGTTAAAATCTTGCCCTACGAAATGGGACAACCATTACTTCATTAACAGCTACTAGCGCTGCTCTGTAGGCGACCCGACCCGTCTTCAGTGATAGCAGAGAAGGGTAAAGTTCAGCGACCTCACTGTTGGGCTTTAGTTACATTTAGGGCATCATATGCCTTCAAAGAGGGGGTATAAGACAATTATTTATTATTTTTTGCATTCTAAATTTTATCACATTGAACGAATGAAGGCAGAAGAAGGAGAAAACAATTACTAATTTAAGAGGAAATGACTGAATACTAGTGGAGTGTGATTATGCTGTTACTTGAAACAAGTTGTTTATCTTGAAACAGGTCTTCCTAAACCTGTGCTTAATTTAAAACTAGCCCTTAATCTCAGAGCTGACATCGCAAAACAGGAAACTAATTTTACTGACATCACAACCAGGACTGCAAGAGAAATTTCCACCAACATTTATTGACAACTGAATAGTGAGAGAGAGAGAGAGAGAGAGAGAGAGAGAGAGGTTACATTTGACCTTTTAAAGAACAAGAGGTTCCACTGTTTAAACATCAGAGAGAAAAATATTTTGAAATGAAATGAGACTAAACCTGATAACAGGAAATTAAGAGCCCTCAGCAGAGGAGACTGAAGAAAAACTGGATGTCCTAGCTGGCCTAGTCAGGCACAGGTGCACAACAACAAGAAATAAAAGATAAAGTGACATTACATTTCTGAGAAGCTGGAATCACTAAGTTCGAGTGAAAATAAGCATGTCCTTTCATTTCCTGGTAGGTGAAGCATGTCGGGCCATTGGCACTGAATAAAAAAGTGTTTTTTAATATGTCTTTTATGTGAATCTTAAGCAGTCGAACTTGAGTTTGTGTCACTGAATCTGTGAATGGTATCGAATGGTACTCAGTCTAAAGTATCTTATTAGTAAATTATTCAATTATTCAATTATAAGATTTCCTGACTAATTTAGGTAAAAAAGACTTATTTAAGAATATAATGTGAATTCAAAGATTGAAACTAGTAAATAACCCTTTAAAACAAGATAATTAATATCATATTTCCAGATCAAAGGCAAGCACAGAACAGTTTGCAGTGCAATCTGGGTGACACTTGATGTTAATAACTGTGAAATTACGTGGGATTTTTAGCCAATTTAACATTTTAACATAATCTACTTGAAACATTTATCAGAAACCTATTTAACCAAGTTAACTTTAATGATTTTCCATTAAAACTTGCAAAACATTTTATTGTTTTAATCTGTTAATTAAAAAAATACCAACACCAATATAGATTCAGAGATTTATGACCGCTGAATAAATGGTTTTGAAAAATGTAAAAACTGTCATGATTTGCAATATGATGTGCAACATGTCTGTACATTTTTTTTACCATGTTGGAACAGCAGAAAAAGCAAAAACCAGAGCATCCGACATTATCAGCTTCTAACAGCTGTTTGCGAATGCAGACCACGCCTTGGTAAGTGAGATAATGAGAGGAGGAGAACTCTGAGGAATTTTGGGCTGGAGTTCAGTATGGCTTCTGTGGGTCACGAGAAGGCCGACCCCCTATATTAAAGATTAAGTGCAGGCGTGGACAAGGTGGAGGAGAAAAGGGGAAGAGATGGGGTGCAAAATTCGTCACGAGTAGGAGGAGTGAAGGACTGGTATCTATAGGAAGCTGGAATTGGGAAGGAGGAGTTAAGGCATGGTCTTTCCTCAAACTTCAGTTTTGCCATAACTCCATTTATGATTCAGACATTAGTGAGCAGCAGACAATAGGTGCTATGTGTAAAACTTCTTTTTTACTTTGGTGCCATCTGATGGTTGTGTAAAGAACTCTATATCAACTGATATCAACCCCAACATCTCTTCATAATATGATCCAGTTTGGACTCAATGCTTTTCAGTCTGGCTTTTGTAGTGGTGATGGTGGTGATAATGTTCAGGGGCATTTTTATGTTCATTTTCTTGTCACATGTGTCTCCATAGTAACCGTCTTGACAAACACACAGCCATTCATTGGATTTCAGCAGCTGCTTGCACTGACCATTGTTCTGACATGGGTTATGTTTGCAGACTTGCAACTTCTTGGAATTATGCACAAAAATGTCATATTTATCACTTTTTATTAAACATTTCCGTCGATACGCTGGTAGGGGAAACACTACAAATTCCTTATTATATGTAGCGATTGTTACTTTGGCAAAATCTTTAAGAAATGTTGTTTCAGTAAGTCCATTCTCAAATCCCCAAGGAAAATAGCTGCAATCAAGCTGACATTTGTTCTTTTCATTAAAACATTCTTCAACCAGTTTTGTAACTAATCCTTCAGTTTCCTTCTCTTCTTTTGAACCTGCTTTCAGGGTGTAGGTGACAGCCACAATGACACTGTCTGATATGGGGATCTTAGTCATATCATATACATATATATATTTATCATCTTCTTGCTTTTTGTCATACACCAGCACCACCCAGTTGTACCAGTTGTACTTCTTGTCCAGAGCATCTTTCACCTTCTTAGCGATCTCTTCCTTTTTCTCAGGACTGTTCTTTTTGGCGATCTCCTCCACGTCATCCCTCGCATACTTCTCACTGTTGTCCAGGCAGTGCTCCACAACTGCCCGCTGAACTTCATGGACGTTCTTGAACATCTGGGCATGTTCAGCTTCTTGGCCTGCTGTGTCAAAACCAATCAGTTTCAGGTAACCCTCTTTAAGTACTAATCCCTTCCACAGCAAACCACTGAAATGAAAATTATACTTGTAGATCTGACTTAAGTCACATTTAAACTTCCTCTTCAGCATGTCGTTGAGATTTCCACTGAGAGATGTGGTCTTGACCGTCAGGTAGTGGTAAAGGTTGGCCACACTGGCCTCAGTTTGTGTGTATTCATAGTAGTTGGTAAAGATCCCAGCCAAGCTGTTAAAGTCGTTAGACCTCTTCTTTTTAAAAAGCTCCTCAAACTTCCTCCAGGTGTTGAGGATGCGGAGTTCATCTTGAGAGTAGACACTAATGTAGTTGAACCATTCCACGTCCGTTGCCAGGTCAGAGATCTGGGTGGAGAGAGAGTCCAGCTTCCTGTTCACTTCAGCAAACCCTAAATCAAGCTTGGTCAGCACTGGGTCTTCTTGCGGGATGAAGACCAAGACCGTGTTGATGACAGAGGAGATCACAGCTCCGACGCCAGGCGCCAAACTGGCAAAGTTGGCAAGGTTCTTCATCATACTTTTCAAGCTATTTGTGTCAATCTTTCCCATCACATCATTAAGTAGAGACAGAGAGTTTGTTGCAGTTTCTAGGACTTTTTCTGTTTTCTGTCTGGTCTCGAAATCCAGGTCTCTCGCGATCCTGTGGAGGGCTGAACGGTCGGTGGAGGAATGTGACCAAGCGGAGGACGTCGTCCAGTAAAGAAGGATCAATAAAGCCAACAGCGTTGAGGCAGACCACTGTGGGGACGCCATGACTGCAACACACATAACATGGATTTATTTTCTAACTGTCCATTCTAGAGTAAAACAGTCTCCCTTCCCAGCCTCTTCATGTGTGGAATCTTTTCTTATTTAAATTTGTTAACTAACAGTTTTTATAGTGTACATGTTGTAAATCCACATGGGGCACATTTGTGAATTTAGACCATAAAAACAAACCAGCATCCTATGAAAAAGCAGTTATGCTGGCACAGTTGCTTCTTGTAGACCAGATATTTCAGTGCCTGTGTTGTCTTACATGCGTTTTAGTGTAAAAAAGAAGGACTCTATGTACTGAAGCTCAGCTACAGCTGTCACGATCTTGTGGAGTACAAACTACCAAACTGATGTTGTGTAGTCTAGGCCTGATAAGCTTTTTGATGCTGCAGCTCAGCCTACAGCACAGATATGGAGAGGGAAGAACTGAGCTAAGCTAAAGTCTAATGCTGCTCTCCCATCTATCCTGTGGGCTAATCACACACCAGATATTAAGCTAGACTTTATAGAGCTTTTTCAAACTGTAAGTGTGAAACAAAGAATTGCTGTGTGTCTGTTTGTGGCTACACAGCAACAAATATGGATCTGGTCATCCAGCCACACTTAAAGTTTGTAGGTGCCCAAATTAGAAAACTGTCCAATACTATCAAAATATTTTTTTTTTTTTATAAGAACATGTATAGAAAATCAGTGCAGCTCAAATATAGATACATGCTATGATTTTGAGACCAGTGAAGTGGTCAACTAAGATCTTTTTTCCTGTTGATTGAGAAGCACTTTATCACAATAATAATGAACTGTCTTTTTTTCAGATATAATACCAAAGTAGTGATGACCAGAGGAGCAAAAGGTGTGAACAGCAGAGTTTCAAAGGACAACAACTGACAACCTTTGGTCTGTCATGTTTTTCAGTAAAAGGCTCAGAGTCATGGAACAACATTAAAAACACAATCACAACTTAGTGTTACTACACAAATAAAGTAGCACCATACTTCTATACATCGTTCATATACACACTATCAGTGCATACACAGTCATATATTATATACACACAGACACATGCATATACACATTCTCACAGTTGGGTTTATCTGTCCTGATGTTTTATAATTAAAATTGATGGTTATCAAATCCTGCTCTGTTTCCAGGTACCCCTGTATGTCTTGGTTAATGATGCACTCCATTGTCTTATATACACATCTTGCCAGGCTGATGAAGTCTTTGTCTTATTCATCCCTTTCTTCAGAACGGGGATCGTCCAAGCTTCCAGCACTGGTGTACTTGACCTTGTCTACAGCTCTGGTTGAAGGTGTCCAGCAGCTTGTTGAGGGTGGTGTTGCCTAGGTGCTGTAGCATCTTATTTGTGATGTTGTCTAGGCGAGGAGACTTTTTCGTCTTCAGCTGTTTGACGGCTTTCTTCGTTTCCTTTATGGTGATGTCTTTCTTCATTGAGTCACGCACGTCTGTGTTCTTTGATCTGTGTTCTGTGTTCTCATCTCTCTTCTTTTCTTCTGATTTGTTTTTTCATGGGTCACGAGATGAGAGTGATGTTTCTCTCTTGCTCTCCTCATCCTCTTGTTTGTTTTTAAGTCAAAGTTTGGTTGATTAAAAGTCTGGGCAGTTTAGTCTTGTCCTAATCAAAGAAGACTGTATTTTATTCTAGTTTTAGTCAAGGAAAACGCCATTTTTTAGCCACTGCTGCTTTAAATAAACTTCCAATGTAGCTAAAGCTTCTTGCCTTTGCAAACACCAACTGCACTGTTAGCACTGATAAAAGTTAGCTAGCTTGTTAAGTGATGTATTTTGATGATACATTTGCAGACTACATACTACAAAAACTGTTTTTAAAGCTTTGAGAATGATACACAAACTATCTACCTACAAAAACATGCTGTAGTGTCAGAGGCACTCACCTCTTTGGTTGTGTGAATGAGCTCCCTGTTTTGACCCATAATCCCATGCGAATATTGTTAGAAATGAGTAAGATAGAATTTGTGTTAAATGTTCAACCGTACCATGTACTCTTTCTCCCCTGCTTTAGTTAATGTACAACATAGATCCTCTGTTAATGATTAGAAATCAGTGTGTACCATGTAAATGTCCTTTGTAGTTTCCCCCTTTACTAGCGTCTACGTCTACCCTTACCATGTAACCTGTATCTGCGTATAGATCCCTGAGCTTTCCTTTGCTCTGTGTTACTTGTCCTACGTATGAATAAATGGCACGAGCGCCAAAGAAAAGCCTTGACTACAATACACTAAAAATGGTCTGCATAACCTGGCTTTAAGCAAAAGGTTAGCTAAGCTGGCTAAGCCTTTTCTCAGTAGAAAAACATATATAACATTAGCATTATTAAGACATGCTAGCCCATCTATGTCTATACTCTGTTCTATATTACCTTCTATGTTATGTCTGTACTCAGTTCTATGTTACCTTTGCTGCTCAATTTCAGCTCCTTCACAAAATATGCTAGCCTATTAGCTTAATGAGTTTGCTGTGGCAAGAAAATACAGCCTACGTAACACCACCAAGTTACAAGTTGGCTGAACATAGCTTTAAAGAAAAGAATCTGACATTGGCAACAACACCATAGGTGACATTTCAGACATATGTCAGGGAAATGAGTTGGATGGAAACTGAGCTATTGATATGAGCCTTGGCAGTGGGCTGTTCACCACACATTAATGGCAAACACCAGATACTTTAAAGAACTTTATTTAATGAAGAAAACATTTTCTTTACTCTTGTTTAACCTCACAGTTTGTCTAAAAGTGGTGAGCTGACTAACTTGGGTGATACTATACTATATACTATACTAACTATACAGTTAGCCTAGTCTACAGTAAGCACTGATAAAAATCTTGCTAGCTTGTGAACTGTCACCAGAAAACTTGTGCCTTATAACTTTGCTTATAAATTACCTTCAGGTATTTCCAGAAGTTTTTGTGTGAGCGTTTCTAAACTTCTGAAGTTCTCCATTTCCAACTTGAAAACAAGGTGATAGGCCTACAAATAATTCCAAGATGAGGCTGTGGACTTAACATCCAACTACCAATACAGCCCAAAACATTGATGCCAGTTCCACATTAAAAATGTGCACTGGGAGAAATACAAACTGTTAGCGCAAAACACAGATCCATCTAATATGGCTGCCAATGATAGGTTTCACTGTCGTGGCCTGCCTACCTAGTGTTGATGGAGATCAGTATAGTAATACAGTACATAGCTTTAATAAACGTCATTCCAAAATTAAAGTGAGTTGTCGAACATTTTAGGGGGACGAACGCCCCACCCCCACCCCCAAATGTTGCCATGAACACATATCTGTATGTAACAATGCTTATCTAAGCAGTTCCTGTTAAATAAATGAATGTTAGATAAAGAAGCAAGGAAATACTGCAGACCTGGAAAGAGGCTTGGAGAGCTGGAGTCGTGGTCCAGAGAGGTGTTGCTGGTGTTGTTTGGTCAGCAGGTAGGCTGAATCTGGAGGTTGTTGAAATCTCAGAGGAAGCCTCCGATCTCTGAGCTTGACAGGACAGAGCCAGTCATTTTTATAGGAAACTGATTGGTCACACCTGCCGTTCGGCTAAATGAGTTTCCTCCACTTTAGGGCAGGTGGGGCTGGAAAGAAAGTTTGCCTTGTATGGAGAAATGATAAAAGGGCAGAGCTGTGGACTCTGTGGATTGGTTTAAATGAAATTGACTGTGGTATTTTATCAGAAGAACTCAATTTGCATTTAGATAATCTAGAAAACGTGCCACATACCACGGTCAACTCGCTCTCTTGGTCATACCCTAGACCTTGTCATCACAAAGGGCCTCACTGTCTCTACAGTCATCAAATTGGCCTTATCTGATCATTTTTGTTTGTTCTTTGATGTGCCCACGTCCTCACACATTCAAAACAGATCTATAACTGTACAATAGGGAGTCATAGGCACTTTCAGAGCCTTGAGTCTGTAATTGCTCCAGTAAAAATTAAGACAGTCACTGACAAACAAAGAGCACCATGGAAATAAGATCCAACTGTTAAACTCATAAAAAGAGAGCGCAGAAAGACTGAAAGCAAAAAACTTCGGATCCACTATCAAATCCATAGACATGCACCACTCATATAATGCTGAAATATGCTAATCAAAATAGTCTTTCTTCTGCAAGATCATCAGTAGAAATATAAACTACATATACTGTATAAATATAGAAGGCCTTATGCCAAAACATGATTTAGAAAACTCATTCATGCCTGCATCTCCAGCAGGGTCAAGTACTGCAATGGTCTTTTCACAGGCCTTCATAAAAAGACCATCAAATAGCTTCAGGTTGTACACAATGGAGCTGCCTGAGTTCTTATGAAAACAAAAAGAACTGACCATAGTACTCCAAAGCTTAGGTCCTTCTTTCAGCAAGAATTGACTTTAAAGCAACTCTGCTTGTTTATAAATCACTAAATGGGACAGAACCAAATTACCTCCCGGATATGTTTCAGCAGTACACACCTGCTAGACCTCCCAGGTCACTGGAGAAGAATCTGTTGGTGGAACCAACTGTCAGAATTAAACCTGGTAAAGCAGCTCTTAGCTTATGTGCTGCTCAGCTCTGGAAGCAACTTCCAGATGACATCAAAGGTGCTCCAACTATAGACAGTTTCAAATCTAGACCTAAGGCTGAATTGTACTTGCCTTAAGGAACCAACAGAGAACCAGTACGGTACTGCCAGGGAGAATGGTTTACATGGGGCTGTAGAACATGTGTAGAGTTTCTGTGAAGGGGGAATGCAGGGCACCTCAGCAACTGCCATGGGAGGGGGGAGTATATACTGAGCTGTAAAACACAAGAAGAAGTGTGTGCAGTGGGCGACAACATATGTTGCCAAAACCTGTATATATCATTCAGCATTAATGATGCCTCTACAGTTGTGCAAGTTGTCCATACCATATGCACTATTGCCCTGCCATACTACAGGACTCCAAAGTTTACCTTTGTATGACTCGGTGGTTCAATATGGACATGCACAAACTGATGATGTTCACAGAGGTAAGACGTAAGCCAGGGAAGTGCATGACATCTGAAACTTACATGGTTTCAAACGAAATGAAACACAAAGCATTAGAAGTCTGTGACCTGAATATCGGCCAAACATGCTTTGTTTTGTACCATAAAACTCAAATTCCAAACTTAATCATCTTACCTCTTGGACCAAAATTTTAATATTGCAGCAAAAGATATTGCTGGTATGAGTTCGATAGCAAGACCCTTTTTACAACTGACTTGCTGTTCAGTTATTCATTTGCATTTAATTTGAGTAAAAGACCAAGTACCACACCACACTACCTTACGCCACGTCTTCCTCTATGGACTCTTGTCTGTCATCTCAGTAAGGAATACATGGAACAGTTTGCACAACTTGCTCTTGTGATCCTTGTCTGCAAAGCCCAAAGCCCTAGTAATGCTAGGTCCTCAGAGTTCTTTCCAAACATGCTTTGTCTCGTACCATAAAACCTGCAGGTTCCAAACCTGAACTCATTAACCTTCATGTGTTCTTCATATTTTTGTTACACACAGTGGATCCACAATATTACTTGGGTTTTAGAACAATACAGCTCCAAGAATTTATTAATTTTACCTCTTTCCAGATCACATTTATTAATAAGATCAGCTTTCAGCATCCCACTAGATGTTGAGTAATTACATGCCAAGAAAATGAAATCTTTGTCTTGCCACAGTCAGGAGGCCACAAAGACTGGAAGATATTTTTATTATAGGGCACTAAATGTGACAATTCTGGCAGCAGGCTTTGTACAGTGCAGTTGTTAATGATTAATCTCTGTTGTAGTAAGTTAGGACTGATTTCAGTAGCCCACGGTCAACATTTGCACCGATGATTAGTCATGTGTACTGACCCAGAACAGAATCAGAGCACTGAGCACTGAAGAAGTCATGTGGACTAAAAGAGGCTCATCTAACATTTCTATCTAACATCTGCCATAAGTCTCCCTCAAATATATCTCTGTCAGCATATATGGAGGGCAGAGACTTGATTGTAGATGTTAAATTGGACTGGAGAAAACCAACATGTTTGGGGAAACAGGAAAAAATCCTGCACATGTAACGTCACAACACTGGCCCACAGAATTTAACTGTGATATGCTCTCTATATTGTCAGACTCAAGAACACCTTCTTGCCAACACACATTCAGTGTCTAGGATTTACTGCAACTTATACAGTCAATAATTGACTGCACAGGACTTTTCCTATGACTTGTGTGACTACAGTCATGGGCCAAAACACAAATTGACTCTCTTCCCATTTGGCAGTTAAGTTCTTAAGTCTCACTCACTGTTCATTGCAGTCGCACAGGGAGATCCACCATCCTGCCGACTACGCCCAAAACTGTTGGAAATCTTTGTCTTGCCAAAAGGAAAGAGTCAGAAGGGCACAAGAGACTGGAAGATGGTTTTCTTTCTGTTCACTGAAGACTCAGCCTTGCCTAACTGTGACAATTCTGACAGCAGGCTTTATACAGTGCAGTTGTTAATGATTAATCTTTGTTGTAGTAAGTTAGGAGACACAGAAGTGAGAACTCCTATCAATGACTGATTTCAGTACAGAGCTAGACCACAGTCAACATTTGCACTGATGATTAGTCAGGTGGACTAAGATTAAAGGAACAGAAACGCATTGACACTCATCAGTCAGGAGTGAGCTTCAAAACTTAAGAATAAAAAGAAATTAATTTAAAAAGAAGAATAAAAATATTCCACAATTCCCACCTTGAACACAGGTAGAATGTGTTCACCATGGTTCAACAGTAATCAATAGAATACCTAATTATCAATTTTCATATTCTGACAAAGAATAGGTTTCAAGATCCAAAATACATGTACCTGCATTATGCTATGCTGATTGGGGAATGCAAACACTTTGACCCAAGAACAAGTATTTCCTCAGTTCAGACTTGATTACTTAAACATTCTAACATGGTTAGTAGAACGAGTGGCCTGAAAGGCACTCCAAACTCCCCCATCCTTGACTGCTGATGCTGCAATCAGCACACAGTCGATCGTTTAATTTTGTGCAATTTCACAATGGCAATAGTGGAGGTTTCAACATGGAACGACCCAGTGTTAGTCAGTCCAGCAGCATCTTGAGATCAGGTCAGATCGGATTGAATGGGCTCCGAAGAAATCAGCAGCACTTGTGTCACCTTATCAACATCCTCCTTAGCACCTCAGAGTTCACACACACACACACACACACACACTGCTCTTGACGTTTCCTAAAAGCACAGAAACACACAACAGCAGCAGTATCTTATATTCATCACATAGATTATTTAAATACTACTTCTGGACTGCACAGGGCTACATTCTCTCCCTACCTAACTCATGGGTCCTGGAACACTAAAAGGAGTGAGGAACACTAATCGGTACATGGGAGGGAATCTTCTCTTTGAGTTTGACCTCTGTGACCTAATCATCAACAGTTCTACTCAAAGCTCTCCTTTCAGAGTCACCCACATTTTTACCCTTTTTGTCATAGCACTATTTTACAGTGTGAAGCTTGTGTCCACGTTTTCTTCTGTGTGAACTGCTAAGAGAACTTAACCTCCAATGGAGCAGCTATGTTGTTTTTAATCATTGTTGTATAGTATTCCAGCACAACAGCATGTGTACGCTTGCGCCTTGGGCCTGAAAACAGACGTCAGTACTATTAGGACGATTAAAAGAGGTTTGAACAGTGTGAAACTAAATTTTGTAAATTCCCAAAGCAATGTGGTATATTACTTTACAAAACCATCAACTTAGGTATGATGGCATTCTCTGCAATCATAATTAAGGATTTGTGGTCTGACAAATGAGCTGAAGCTATTTATGTGCATCCTGTTTTAAACAGGATGTTTTGGTTTTGTTTTGTTTTCTTGTATAGGTGTATAAAAAACTGATTATCTATTATTATTATTGAACCTTTAATCTTGCTCGTGTGTAATTGGCTATAAATATGCTCTCACAGTAGCTATCACTAGTCTAATCGATCCACCTCTGTGGGAGTAGTAAACTGAGTTACTTTCTGGATATGGCTTTGACAGCTGACCTGCCACCTTGGGTAAGCCCCACCCACTGAACTGGACTGCCTTTTTACTAAACTCACTTTTCTTTACGTTTACGCTCCCAAGAACCCATTTTTCCATTTTACCACAGTAGCTTCACGCATTATCCTGAGATCTTCTATCTTGCTGACTATGTTTTTCCTAGGCAACATTCAGCAACCCAACTGACATGTGCA